TTTAATTTTGTTTTAAACATACGTACAATTCTGGTGTTGCTTGTTGTTCTGCTATTTTAAATCGGATTAGTTCATACAATGGAAGTTCTACTGCATTATTATATTACTACTTACTATTTTCGCATCAGGCCTCTCGTCCAAATCTATTTTAGTAATACTTCGATTTTTTTTCATCGCTAAACTGAGCGCCTCCAATCCGAACAGCCGTACGTCATTATTTCGCAAATCTATCCTCTGAAAGTAACAAAATACGATGCGAAACGTCCTCGCTTATTTAACCGATCTATCATTTCGATATCTACTTGCAAAACTTGATTCGTCTCGATGATGTCGGACAGCGTGATGACTCCGTCGCAAGTTAAATCCGTCGACTGCATTCCCAATTGTAACAACACACGGTTCTTCTTCAACGCGTCTTTAATAGCAACTAACGTATCGTCAGTCAACAGATTTTTCCCAATGTTCAATGTCTCTAAAGTTTTACACAGTCCCTGTGTACATAAATACAAACATGTAAATACAGATTATTAAGAAAAATGGAAACTTAACAAACGACTGATATTACGTACTATGATGCGTGCAAAGGAAGGGCCAGATTTTTTTGTCAATTGATTATTCCATAATATCAATATGCTCAAGCCTTTCCCATCCTCATCCTCTTTTATTTGATTTATGAGACCCTCTAGAATATCCCGAACGCCGTCGTCTTGGATCACATTATTACTAAGAGAACATTATTAATCAGAAACTTAAAACGATTATTAAAATTTTTAATTATCCCATACCTAATATCGAGCAACTGTATATGATTGTTTAACCTAAGGAGAGAACCGAGCTGTATTGCATCGTATAAGTTCAGCCCGTTGTCAGCTAAGTAAAGTTCTCTTATCCCGGTATTCACTTTTAAAGCTGCAACTGTGAACGGAACACATTAACTCGATTTAAAAGATCGACCGAACCATTGCTTGTCTTTCTGGACATTTGAAATTTTGTCTGATAGAAAAAAAGTCTATCTATGTGAATAGAAGCAAGTTTACCATGCTCGTCTATTTAATATTTACGTCGTGTCTTTAATGATTTGTGGACCTTAACTAACAACTTCTAGGATCGGCGATTTTATAAAATTAAGAAGAAATTGTAAGTAAATAGGGCTAGCAAACTTTGATTTGCTTAATAAATACCTAGTGCGACGATACATCTTCCTGAAAGTCCACAATTTTCTAATTTAAGCACATGGAGTTGGCAGTTTAATCGTAAGTCACGACTCAATATATTCATGTATTGTTCGTTAAGAATTACATCCTTAGCTTCGAGATGTTCTAAACATCGGGTCTAGACAAATAATGATTACGTTAATAACAAGGCTCGATTTTTATGCCGGTTTAGTTGTTTCATTTCTAATCTTTCTCGCTCGTTCTACGTGCGATTCGACGAAAAAAAAAAAACAAAATAAATATAATCATCAATCGCGTATTAATGATTTTTGTTTTGTCTTTAGAGAATGCTTTGTTATACCTTTCTTATCATATTCGCGCATGCTTGCCAGCCGTGAATCCCAATGTCTTGATTAAGTGAAATATTCAACTGTTTCGCAGACTCATAATACTCTAACATATCAAATAATATCACAGAACTCTATAATTAAAAAACGACAAACGACATTTAATAAAGTTTCCAATTCGATCCGTGAGTCGTCGAGAATCGAAGGGGAATACCTCGTCGCTGAGAGATGTATCTTCTAAATCGACTTTGTTAAATTGGACTCTTTTGAAAATCTCTTCCAAGGGCTCCGCGTGGTTCACATCCAGAGTCTCCCCTTTCAAATTTAATTCCTCATTACGTAGCTCGAACGTAGACAAATTCTGCAATAACAATCGTCGTCGTTAATAGAACAGATTATAATTCATCAACAGGATCTCACCTCAAGTTGGTTCACGACTGTCGCCAGAGGTTCCGAGTTGTGTTTTAAACAGGACTCCTTGTACGCCGAGATTATGTCCTCGCGATTCGCATTTTCGGCTGCGAACAATTAATCAGGTGGTATGATTAATAAATAGAACGGGTTTAATCAACGTCACGATGTAAATGACTAACGAATGATGCTCGGAGATTACATACTCGACACCTAAAGCCGACAAGACTGTTGCTAAACGGTACAATATAACTTTGAAAATATCTCAGTTCATTGTTTCATATAAATATAAATATAATAACGGTTTTCTTTCATTTTTGTTAACACGTTCGCTGCGGCGGTTCTCACTGGTGACTCACCAAGCTTTTCTTTTTTCATTTGTACCAACGACTTGACTCATTAATTAGTGTCTACATTTCCATTGAATGTTCACCTCTGTATCGCAACAAAGCAAGCTGATAAATTTGACCCTAGAAGCAGAGGATCAACAGGAAATCAACGTCTACGTACTTCTCTTACGAGCGCAGCCAAATATCTCACATTTTCATAAAACGTACGCACGTGTACAGAAAAAGAAAAACAAAATAAATAAATAATCAAATGCTCTTTTCCTGCGCCTAAGTACCATCAGCTTCCACGTTTTTTCTTTTTTCTTTCCACAGAGAACGTATTAATACAATAAAGCAAACAAAATGTTATAATTTACATAAAAACTCATGGTGATCACTGTGTTACCTTAAATTACTACAAAGGATTCACTTAATTTCCCTGTGACACTTTTAAACAGCCAAATGTGTTTAAAGAAAGTTATTTATTGTATAAAATACAATCTTTGATACATTTCGTTCTACTTAAATTAATCGGGATTCGTTTAAAAATTATCTCTAGACTAGCTTAAACGTTAATCGTATACGTTCGTACATAGTTCGATATTGCATCAATACTTATAATTAGTATATGGTCCACACATTGTGAAATCTTAAACGTTCTGCATTTGGCATGACCTATAAAAAAACGTAAGCCTACCACCGACACGCACAGAGCTGTGCAGGTGAATAATTACAGGAACTGTACAGGTGGATAGTACAAATTGATTACAAATATCACAGATGCTGTTGCTGAAACGTCTCGAGGGAATCTTTTACACGAATTACAATCGGAATTTACATTGCATCTCTTAATTAATTGTTAGGAACGTCTAAACTAACGTTTGCTTATATATACGTAAGAGAAACACTTATATACATGTACACGTAGTGAACAGAAGTTGTATAATAAAAAGTGTTGCAGCTTACAACGATAGTCAATCGATCGTGATCTTTATTCGGTCGATGGGAATATATAACAAACACTTACAGTAACTAATCTAGCCTAATGTCTATCGCTACAATACGTTTGCTTTTTTTAAGCAACTAGGTACAATCAGTTAGGTCCTCTCTCGCTTGGAACAGACTTCTTACGATTAATCTCGAGACACAAACAAGAAGGGGCTGATGTTCAAATATCGTGTTAAACGTCCCAAATCCTTCGCTGTTGCTAAACTAACATCACGAGAAACGAATGTACGTTCGAGTCGGTCGGGACTCGAGACACTAACACCGGGGGCCGTGCGCGAGGCTCGGCCAGTTAGACCCGCGTTTACACGTTGGGAGAGTACAGAATGAGAAAATGAATATAGAAGCTGATACGTGATAAAGCGTGTATCCTTACCGAGTTTCAATGGATTGGCCGGTTCCAGATATCCCGTAATCAAGTGATTGTCATTTGTTGGGAAACTCACGCGTCGCGGGAGCTTTTTTTTGCTTAACGCCAAGGAACTTCGTAGTTTCCTCCCGTCTATCAGGATGTACGGCGAGAGGGGCACGTTGCCCGTGCCGAACCGCGGCCTCCTCGTGGTGTGCGAGATCGTCCGCGGCGGCAGCTCCTCCGGGTCGACCTCGTCCGTCAAGGTCGTCAGCGAATTCTCGCAGGTTCGCGGCGCCGGACTCGCTCCCTCGCTCATGTTTCAACAGACCTCCAACATATCTTGCATGAACGAAATCCGCGCGGGCGATCACCACGCGTAGACACTAGGACACCCGCGCGCGATTCCCGTGCCGGACGCGAGTTATTCACCGTGTTTTCCAATTTTCCCAAATTTCCCTGAACGCACGCCACCGGAGCAAACTGGCAAACATCAGCTACTCGTATGTTACCGTCGCCATCTTCGTTTTACTGTCTAATAGTAGACGTCGATATATCTCGATCGTGCCTCGTCTGACTCTCGATTATCGAACACTGTCGATTTATGGATTTCCCTCCATTTTGTGAACCGTTTCAACTTCTCTCCTGTCATCTCAGTTTTCTAACTGGAAATTTATTTCGATTGCATTTGTGTACGAAATAAATGAGAAACGAATAGTTTTAAAGCTTAGAAAGTCATTTGTTGAAAGTTTGTGGATTTCATTTCTTCGATTCTAGTGGATAAAAATTGATAAAAATCTTTAGAAGTGTACTATTAACAGAGAGGAAATTTCCTCTTTGCTATTAAGGAGGTTCAGGGGTACTGATCTCTATATAACACTGGATAGCGTATACCCATAAGCTCC